TTGGGATAAGAACAATTTAATCATTATCATCTTTTATTTTAATGATTAAATTGTTCTTATCCCAACCTATGAATTTTACCTTTTTTTCTGATTCTCCTCCCTATCCCAGGGATGAGAGGCAGCGAGTGGGTGGCTGCGTGGTGCTGAGTTGCTGGCTGGAGTTAAACCACAGCACACGCACATACAAGCAAACTATTTCCCCATTGCTTTCAAGAGCTTCAGCATTTGGCAGTGCTGGTATTTCCCTTATATTCAGTCCTCTTGACCATCATTGATAAGAGATCGCTGTTCTCATGGTACTTCTTGGCTGGTGAATCAGAAGCAAAGGTAAAAGTATTAGTAATTAAAAAATATAGTACTATCAATTGCAAAACATAATGCTTTTGTGTGCTTTTTGAAGTGATACACATTTTGGCAGGGACTACAGCTAAAACATTGCTCTTTATACTGTTTCCATCCAACATTTGTAGCCATGGCACCTGTCTGTGAAAGACCTCTGCTTTTCCTGCAGTCGGTCAGGGAGACATGAAGCAACACTGAAAATGTGACTCAAAGGATGTAGGGGCAATTTAGAGCTTCCCTTAAGCATACTGGTAGTGTCTGTCCTTGCAGGACACTGGTGCTGACCGTGCAAAATGGAGGAATACCATGGGCCCCTAAAGTGAGCTGAGCCTAGCTGTGACCTCCTGGGCACATGGGATTGCTGTAGGATCACATTAAGAAGTAAGGGTAGTGGGAATGGAGGGACTTCAGTTCCAGAAGGGAAAATATGTGTTAAGTACAGAAATGGTGAGTGTGCAGCAAAAATGTGTGAAATCTAGATCTTCTGAAACAGAACCCAGGGTTGGATTATCCCAAATTCTTCTTTATGAGGCTTTCATGCAGAACAGAGATATTCTGGAATAACTTTGTTATTTTCAAGGCCAGAGATCCATGCAGGGAATATAAGGGACCCAACCTGCTGCCATATCCTTCAAGAGCTGGTATACTGCTACTGCAGAGTTTACTTTTCTTCAGTGTGCTTTAGCAGACAATAACAGAGGACCATTAACCCTGTGATGGAGAGAGTTCAGGAGTTCAGGATTTGTTCCAGCACTCTGCTATCCAATGGAACATGCTAGGAGAGAGACTAGTTTTGTGGCTCAAAAAGTAGCTTGGGGCTACCCTGTTCCCTCTGATATTACTTTCTCTGCATATCTTAGCAGCCTGGAGAAGAGAAGCTTTGGGGTGACCTAATTGTGGTCTTCCAGTAACTGAAGGGAACCTGCAAGAAAGATGGAGAGAGACTGTGAATGTAATACAGTTGCTTCAGACCTGCCCCCCACCATGTCAGAAGGCATTTCCTGGATAGAGACTAGCTTCTGTGGGATAAATATTCAATTTAACATATTTTTCCTTGTTATTTTGCCTTTCTTCCTTTGAAGAAAATGGAAACAAACAGAGAGACAAAGGAGAGTGCCTCACATGCCTGGTGTGCCGTAGGGAATATAGAAAGGTGAACTGGAGCTCCCTGGGTGTGAGCCAGGAGCAGGCTGTTGTCTCCATAGCTGCAGCCCTATGGGGTTGCAATTGGCAATCTTTGGCCATCCACTTTATCTCCTGGGTGAAGAGACCGGGTTCATGCTTCCTTTGTAATGAAGCCCTCTTTGCCAGTCTCGTATCAAGCAGCTGCATTAAATCCCAAGGTACCAAGGAACCAGTAGAATTACTTGGAAAAGGGAATAATCCAAGTGATGCGATGTAGTGCAGATGATTACCTGCACTTCAGCTTCACCTCTTTCTTTTCCCGCACCCTGAAGCTGCACTGAAACTTGAAGCTGAGTTGAAGAGATATACAGCTGAGATGTGGCACCTGAACCCTTGTAGCAGTGTGTGTGTGCCTGGAGAACAGGTGGCAGCCTGGTGCTCATCTCCTGCTGTTCCTAATTATACGGATCACTCTTAGTAATCTGGATCCTAATGATCTTGTATCTGGATGATATGGATCCAGATTACATGTAGATCATTGCTAATTACATGCATTATTAGTATACAATCAGCATCCCGATAAATTTACTTCAGCACTCCTATAGGCTGAATGGCTCTGCAGTCTTGGAACTGTCTCAAGGTGATGGTGCCCCTGTAAAATAAATTGGGAATGCACTTCCATGACCAGTGCTTTGACCCACCGGTATATCCACATGAAGGTAAATGAGGACCAGATGCCTGCCTCTCTCTCTCAGACACTTGATCATTTTATGCTTTGCATTTTACTGCTTAATGAGAGCCATTTTCTTGGACAAGTCCAGGTGCTCTTGGGACATCAAATACAGAGGGGTTCATTTTTGTCCCAAAGGGTGGTCTGTGTAGTCAGTGCTTCAAGGGAGTGTTGCTTCATGTTCTGGGTGAAGCTAAGACAGATGAGGGGAGAAATGGACTGAAAGTCTTTGAATGTATTGGAATCTCTAGAATGCCCAACCACATGGTCCCTTTCCAGATGTGTGTCTGGTTAGACTTTACATTATCTTCATATTGACTTAATGGTTGGGTTTTTTCATTTCTCATCAGAAACCCGGAAAGGCAACTCCTCAGCCAGGAGAAGATACCTTGAATGGCCACCTTCCCCCCGGCTGGCAGAGCTACATGTCTCCCCAGGGCCGCAGGTACTATGTGAACACCTTCACAAATGGTAAGTGAGGGCGGGGGTTCAGTAAATGTTTCAGCCTAGCAGGACAAATCTGCTGCAGGAAATCGTCTTTCAAGTTGATTTTGATGACAAAGTAGGCCCAGAGCCAAAGGAATTAATATGACCCTGGCACCATGTGAAAGAAAATAATTCTAAGATCTAGTTTTATGATCATCTGTCATCTTAATTTTGACCATCAGAAGACATCTGAAGCATTTACAAAAGACAGAGAATGTAAAGTAGAAATACCCCCATCATTAATGTTTTAGAATTTGAAACACTGTTGAGGATATAATTTTTACCACATTCCCTATTTCCTTTCCCTTTAGCTGGAGATATTTCTGTGTCTATAGATACATACATGTGAAGTAGTTTGATAGAACTAAAGCACTAGCACTAAAGCACCACTGAGGAAAACAGAAATAGTGAACTGGTCAGACTCAGCTTGCCCATAAAGACAAGGGAAGAAAAACACATGTAATGGGACAGCACAGACAGAATCTTCAGTTCTGTACTTGTGTGTTTTATTCACTGTCATGTTGGTAGAGAAGCAGACTTAACTCACGATCTTATCAACTGCTCAAGACCTGTCAAACTTGTACCACCTCTGGCTTACCTAAGACTCTGTGTCTACCTGCTTTTCTCATCATGAGCTCAAAGCAGCATTGCAAAACAGGGACTTGTGACCAGCAAAACCAGGTTTCTTTAGCAAAAAGAATGCCAGAATGACAAGGAAGAAGAGGACAGTTGTTAACAACGGAGTTGCAGCCATCAGAAATGACATTCGCATTACTCTTCCTGACTTACAAGGAGAGCCATGGGCTGTCCCAATGCACCTCATGGTCTGTTCTGGGACTGTGTTTTATTTCAGAAGCCCTTGGCCTGGAACTTGGCCAAGTCATTATTTACCAGATTTCAATGCATGAACATCTTGTAGGACCCTCCCTCCAGAAGGCACATTTCAATTTAACCCTGCCTTTGTTTTCAAGTGCAGTCTGCTCTGGCTGATGGGCAGCATCCTCTGCACAGCTGAGGAGATCAACAGGAGTTAGATACCCCATCCCCACTGCAATCCAGAGGTGGGTGAGGAGGTGATTAAACTCAGTCCTAAGACATCATGGGAATGGACCCTTACTCACTGGGTTGAGGCCAGATAAAAGCAGTGAGAGGCAGACTTTTTTATGTGATAAGAGCTCTTGCCACAGGGACCCTACCTCAGAAAGGTGGATGGCCTGGACTAAGTTTCTCCATAATGTCAGGCAGCTTTCTACTTTCCTCATAAAAGTTACAAGAAATGTAACAAGGGCCAGTAGCCACATTGTCCTTGGGAGGACCATGGCCAGGAATCAGGAGAGCAATTTTCTCTAGGAAGGGATGATAACCCTGGCACAGGCTGACTAAGGAGGTGGTGGAATCTCCATTTTTGGGAAATCTCAGAAACTGCCTGGACAGAGCTGTGGCTGATCTGTTGTTAGCAGTGAACCTGCTCAGAGTGAATAGATGGGTTGAAGACTTCCAGAGATCACTTCCAACCAGTCTTTCTCTGGAGAATGCCCAAACCTGGTTGTGGTCTCAGCTACTACAATGGAATTGTTGTGCAGCAGGAAATATGGTTCTCAGAATAACAGCATGTAAGAGAGGGTAGAAGTGGGATTTCTATATTCTGATCTTTGCTTTAGGGAGCACCTATTCAAATCCTGTTTAGATGAGAATCTCCTCACTAGAGTAATCCTCAGCCCAACTGGCTTTGGAGTTATCGCGTGCTCTTGTTTCCTATTCTGGGCATAGGGAATTTCTGAGCATTTCTGAGCCTCTCATACTTCCATGAGGGCTGTAGCATTTCGTGAGACAATAGGAATCTCCTGCAGCATGTACAGGGGCACTCTGACCCCTCGACTACTTCCAGCTTAGTTAGCGTTCCTGGCAAGCTCAGTTGCTCTCAGCCTGTTCAGTTAGAATATGCTGCTGCCTCAAAGTCTTCTAGCTGTGTAGAGACTGCTTTGTGCTAGTTTATTGGCTTGGTGATATCTCTTGAGAGTGTTTTTGCTCTAGTTGGGCTGTATGGCATGATCAGACGGATCTCAAATGCCTGTGCTTCCTCAAAGTGGATTATATGCCAAAAAAGTATCACCTGTGGTGTCATCTAGGCTTCAGACAAAGCAGAATGCAACCTTCAGACTTCTCTGCTGAAGTGTGTGATGAAGCCTTATCCAGTCCTGCCATGGGCAGCTGTCTGGACAGTGTTTTGATTTAATCTGACTAATTGGCTTTGACTTTTGATCCTGCGAAACTTGTAGTTCAGGACTATCTGTAGGCTCATGTTGGTCAAATCTCATGTTGATGCACTTTCTTCCTTGACTGTGCTGCAGAGTTGGACCTACTGAGACATGCAGTCACCTTAAAGTCAAGTTTGGCATGTGAGGCTAACAGTGGGATTGCACTTCGACACTCAAGATGTATTCTAAGTCAAAGACAATACACTATAAACCTGCAGTCCCCATTTTTCCTGTGGTAGAGCTGCATTGGCATGGGTAATGTTTATTGCCAGTCTAAAAGACTGGACAGCTCTCTGACTGCACCTGCTGACTTGTCTGAACTGCTTATTTGTCCTGTCACTGCTGCAGCTGCTGCTGGGAGTACCAAGATAAACAGTGGCAACGTTTGTCACGAGAATATGGTGCCAGCAGACATCTCTGTCACAGGGTTTCATGGGCCTCCATCCTGCTTTGCCTCCATAGCACCATTGTTTCAGCAGCAGGAGCCAGGTCTCTTCTCCTTCAAGGTGCAGATGTACTCCTAGGATGCTTTCTCTTTACCATAGCTATCACCAGATGATGAAAGTACGCTGAAGCATTTTAGAGAGGTATCACTGTCTAGTGACACTCAGAGGTCAGGTGAAGCCAGTTGGCTAGCCTTCAGTGTGATCCATGCAGTTAAAGGTCTGCTGCTCATCATTACCCACCAACAGCAGTTGATGCAAAACTCTCGGTTTTTAAGGTCACAACCACTTCTCAGATCTCCCAGGAACCAGGCAACTCTTTTACTGAGAGGGTTGATCGAAAAGTGTTTCTAGACCTTCTCCTCCTATCTGAGGAAGAAGTATTTGCATCTCCAAGGGAGTGAAGGCATCCTTATTTTAATGAAGACAAATGACCAGACTGTCTCTTAGATAAGGAATGAATACTGTGAGATTCAAAGTGAAAGATTAAATCTGTCTGAAGCCCCTTAAAAGGGTTTGAGAAGTATCCTTCTCCAGCCAAGAAGCTTCCCTGTTGAATATGTGTTCTCATGCAAGGGCTCCCCTTAGCAGATGCAACAAGGCACAAGGTGTGCTCGGAGAAGGAAGCTCTGTGTAACACCCTGCCAGGAGATGATTGCACTTCAGAGCAGTAAGGGAACGAGAAAGAACTTTCTGGTTATTTTCAGTATAAGTTGTTTAACTGTGGTTCTCTTATTTTTTTTTCACTTCTGGCTTCCACAAGCATCTGTATCTGCTTTGCTGAAAACAGATGTTGCATATAAAGTATTTTATTAGAATTGTACAGTAACATAGCTGCACTGGAAGGTGAGTTCAGGGCAACTTAGATAACAGCAAGGCACTGTTTCATGAAGGTTAGGGTAGATGTTTCCGTGGAGGGACCTCAGACAGTTCACTGTCTGCTCATCCCTACCAGGGCCTTCTGCTGCGTTGAGTAGCAGGAGCAGTGGCTCAGAGGGGTGAACACTTTGACATATCGCAAAACACTGGGACACACTGGGCTGTAAGGGTTTCCAGGGACCCTGTTACACTGCTGTGCACTGAAAAATGAGGTTTTCTTCTTCTCCATTTGGAGCCTTCTGTCAAAGAGGACTTTGGGTTTCAGTTCCAAAGTGGAAGGAGGTTCTGACTTCAGAGCAGATTAGGCATGTCCCTGTGTATATCTTGGCTCCCATTGTCAGGATCTAGAAAACTTCCTATTCAGCAAGAAGAGACATGAAACTGTCCTGGAAGGGTCCTGTATCTGTCATCGACCAAAGCTCCTCCCAGGCTCCTCTGAAATGCTCTACGGAGTTTGCATCCATTTCCAGGTGCAGAATCTGAATGTGGATCGGAATCACTGTGCCAAATCAAGGGTGTCTTCTCCAGGTGCTGAAGTACCAAATTGTCCAAAGAGACTGTACAACTTCAGCTTTTGTTACAGTGGCTTGTACTTTAAGTAGCCTCTTTTTTTAATAAATATGACTGTTTATTCTTCTAGCAAGTCTCTCTAGCTGCTGTGGAGACTGGTTTTATGCATTTTTCCCTTCTTATTTTAAATAACTTAGAATATCCTTCCTATCAAAGCTTTTCTGTATTGTTTTCTCTGTGCTTCTCCTCTCTACTGAGGCTAAGCCAGGCAGTGGAGCTGAAGTAGAGGTAGGAGGCGCTCTACTTCTACTCTAACATGTGGAAATTTGAGAGGAGAAACTAATAATAATTAGAAGCAGCACAGAGCTGTCCAGTGGACTGAGGGGGAGGGAGGGAGGAAGGCAGGAAGGAAGGAAGGAAGGAAGGAATTCCTCTCCATGACAGAGCATCCAGCAGTATCCTCAGCGCTCAGCTGGAGCCTCCCCAGAAGTTCCTTCGTGCTCTGCCTTGCGCATGTGCTGTGTGCACCCTGGGGATCCTGTCCAGCTGCTTCCATCCATAGATGCAGCTGCTGAGCCCCCACTAACAGCGTCCTACTGCCCGCTGTTTCTGATCCCACTTTTTCTAGAGTCCAGAGGCATGGCCTCAGTCTGGACCTGCCACTAAATGCAGTTAGTGCAGTAAATGCTGGAGTGTTCCACTCTGGCTTTTCCTTTAGGGCTACTGTTAGACAGCAAACATAGCACTGCATTTTAGGTTGAACAGCACTCTGCAAGGTCTCCTAGAACCCACAGATCCATACTCTTGCTTTCTTTTTATACATATCCCTTAGGCATTGCTATCATGGATCCTCTCTTTGGTTGTCCCTTCCCTCATAGGTCTCTCATGCGTGAGG